TAGAAATTGGCCAAAAGCAGGCAGAAACTGGAAGGGGAGTCAGAAGCTGAAAGAATGGCACCTTATTTGTTTGCCTGGATCTTGGTCTGATGGCAGTCACCATCCAGTGCTTGGCATTGGGGACTTGAATTGAAATCAGAAGGTTTACTGGCTTGAGAAACCAGATGATAGAATTTGGAGCTACCTAAGCAGCTGAAAAATGAAGGGAGAGAACATCTTAGGATGGAGAAAAGGTATCATCAGTGCAAAGAGGGAGCAGTAAATTTTGCACATAAAGTCTGCCTGGATCTCTGGTTGACCTCTGACTGCACATGCTTGGGGCAGACTCAGAGCAGCCCTTGTTCTTTTAAGGCTAAAAGAACTTATTTCAGTTGTCCATCACAGGGTGGCAGATTTGGGATTTAAGTTCAGCCAAATTAACTTCCTGCTAAAACAAAGCAAAAAGCAATACTCTCTGAAGGAGTAGAAAAGATTCCAGCGTCTCTACCACACATCTATCATGATGCCCAGAATATAAACCAAAATTACTAGATATAGTAAAGAAGAAAATTTGACCCTTGGTAAAGAGAAAAAAAAAATAATAATCAATGGAGACTGACTCTGAGATGGGGCAGATGTTGAGATTAGCAAAAAAGGTTTTAAAGGAACTCTCATAACGACGTTAAAGGACATAAAGTAATATATATTCAGATTAAAAGAACAGATAGCATATCTTAGTGGAGAAAAACTATAAAAATCAAACTATTTTCTAGAACTTAAAATACCTGAAGTAAAAAATACACTGAAATATCTTAAATTGGAAATGGCAGAAGAAATCATCAATAAACTTCAAGACAGATTAACAGAAATTATCCAATCTGAAGAACAGAGAGAGAGAAACAAAAAAACTAACAGAACTTGAGAGACCTGAAACTCGTGGGACAATACAAAGTAGTCTAACATATATGTAATTTAAGTCTAAGAAAATGTAAGCAGAGAAAATATTTGAAAAAATAATGGCCCCTAATTTCCCGAATCTTGTAAAAGAAGCCCAGAAAACCCCAAAGAATACAGAGAAAGCCTTACATAGGCACAACATAGTCAAACTGCAGAAAACCAAATATAATTAAATTATGAAAGCAGCTGGAGAGAAATGACACATTTGCATATAGGGAAATAGTGATACAAATGATGGCTGACCCCTTACCAGAAACAAGGCCAGAGGACAATGGAACGACATCTTTGAAGGGCTCAAAAGCAAAACACTGTTAATCCAATATCTTATATCCAGTGATAACGTCAAAAATGAAGGTAAAATAAAGACATTTTCAGATAACCAAAAATAGAGAATTGTAAGCAGAGCTGCACTACAAAAAATGCTAAAGAACGTTCTTCATGCTGAGGGGAATGATGTCAGGTTGGAACATGAATCTTCAGGAAGGATTGAAGAACAAAGGATATGGTAAATATGTGGTTATTTATAAAAGACTACTTTCTTTCATCAATTAAAATATGACCGTTTAAAGCAAAAACATATAATTGGGTTTATACCATGAAGATGTAATACATAGAGAAACTATTGCATGATGAGTAGAGGGTTAGTACATGGAACTTACAGAGTTATAAGGTTCTTACATTTTATGTGAAGTGGTACAGGAAGACTGAAACATTTAAGGATGCATATTGTAATACTTAGAAAAACCCTAAATGCTGATTTATAGCTATAAAGCTAATAGATAAAATGAAATTATATAAAAACACAGTAAACTCAAAGGAAAACAGGAAAGGAAGAACAGAGGAATAAAATACAAATGGGATGACAGAAATTTAATAACAGGGTAATTAAATCCAATTATATTAATTTCATAAATGTAAGTGGACTAAACATGACAATTAAAAGGCAGAAATTGAGACTGGATGAAAAGAGAGATGCAATTATATGCTGTCCACAAGAAACACATAAATATAAAGACATTCGTTCAAATAGAAGTTGAAAAAGGTATACCATACAAGCAGTAAGCATAAAAGAACTGAAATGACTAAAATAACATTACATAAAGCAGACACCAAGACAAAATATATTATATCTCTTAAGGTAAAGGGTTAATTCTTCAGAAAGACTCAAGTCATAAAAGGGTATTAATCTAGCAATGATGCTTTAAAATAAATCATCTAAAAATTGACAGAATTAAGAATTCACAAATTTAGTTGAATATTTTTAACTCTTTCCCCCGTAGTTCATAGGATGGTTTAAAAAAATGAATAAGGACACGGAAAATCTGAACAACACTCTCTACCATCTCAATCTATTTTACTCTTACAGAACACTGTATCCAGCAACTGCAGACTGCACACTGTACTCAGCTACCCATTGAACTTTTGCCAGGATAGATCATATGACTGACTATAAAATGAGTCTCAACAAATTACAAAATACTGAAATATTACAGAGAGTTATGTTCTCTGGTTAAGGTGGAATTATAAATCAATACAGTAAGTTACATAAGAATTAACAGATAGTTGAGTCAATGCACTTGTAAATAACTTACAGGAGGAATCACAAGGGAAGTTAATGAAAATACAACATATCATAACTTGTGAAATACAGCTAAAGCAGCACCCAAAGGAGAATTTATATCTCTAAAATACTTACATTAGAAAAGAAAAAAGGTATAAAATTATCATTGACCTAAACCTCTGCCTTAAGAAGTCTGAAAAAAGAGAAGCAAAGTAAACTCAAGAGAAGTAGGAAGAAGGAAATGATAGAAATCAATAAAATAGCAATCAAGAAAAATTAAAACCAAATGCTGATTCTTTGAAAGATCAGAAAAATGAACAAATCACTGGTTAGTCAAAAAAGACACAAATTACCAATATCAGGAAAGAATACATTATTATAGGCCGGGCGCGGTGGCTCATGCCTGTAATCCTAGCACTCTGGGAGGCCGAAGTGGGCAGATTGTTTGAGCTCAGGAGTTCGAAACCAGCCTGAGCAAGAGCGAGACCCCGTCTCTATTAAAAATTAGAAAGAAA